GACTGCTTAAGAAGAAGAAGACCACTTAAAGGTATATAAAAAATAATAATTTAGTTACAAACACAAAAAAATGAGAAAATACTGAAGAAATTATATAGAAAATGTCTTATCAGATATATAGATGTCGTCAATAATATGACGCATATGACTTAAACAGTACCAATCCTTCTATATAATTTTTCACAGCTTAAACTCAATTTGACAAGTAGTTATTGTCGTTATACACTATACTGTTTTAAAAAAGAAATGAGCGGCGTTTAACCGATCGTAATGGGAGCATAGTAAGAGAGTAAATGGAACGCAGATAATATCAGGGCATCTCAAATATTAGATCCTAGAGTAGATCCAAAATTAAAACATAGGACTTATTGTAGAAAAAGCCAAGTAATTTAACATACCTACCTATTTATGTTATATGAATTACACCAAAGCGTTCGACTACGTGAATTGGCAGCAAATATGGAACATATTTAAAGAAATGAGTATAGAACATTATTTGATCTACCTAGTAAAAAATATGTACCATAATAACAGCGTTTAGGTCAAGGTGGAAAAACTTATAAAGTAAACTAAGTGGTTTCTGTCAACAGACAGAAGTGTCTGTTGTAGACAAGAGTGTACAACAAGGGTGCGTACTTAACCCCATCTTCTTCCCAACACATGCGGCGAGTGGATTAGGAGACATGCTTTAGAGAACTTTGAAGGAGGAATCACCATCAATAATACCAAAATTAAAAACCTTTAGTACGCTAATGATATCACCCTCATCGCTGCAAAAAAAAACAAGGTTGGAGGTCTGTCATCAGATTAACAAACAGAATACCAAAATATTGCAAGTAGATTGACAGAAACCAAATAACTTAAATATAAAGAAAATCTATAACCTCGTAACATTTTTACTTATCTCGGCTCTGAATAACAAACCAGGGGTATGCAGTAAATAAAATCAATGCAATATGCATAAATTAGAAGTAAAACTGCACTGGCCAAATAAGCCATGACAAAACAAAGATTTGGAAAATTCATCGTATAATGTCGTATAATATACAATCTTCTCATACGGATTTTATGAATAATAATAGAGTGGCATTGCTAAAAAATTGTTTATTCTTAAAATGAGCTATGTGCAATTTTAATTTTCTGAAGCATAGTCAAAAAATAATATTGCTGTCAAACTATTGTTTGTATTTTATGTTTATTTCCGATATTTGGAGCTGTAGCAAGATTATTCTCTAGAAAACCAACAAAACTAATAATTCATTAAAGAATATTCTAAGAATATAAGAATATATTTATGCGATCTAATTATGTTGTTAAGTTTTGAAGTTTATCAGATTTTATTTTTTTAATTCATGCTCCTCCATGTTGGAGTTTTTATACACTTCTCGGAATTTTTTACCACCTTCAAGAGTCTTTCTGTTTGTTTTATTTATCATGATAATTATAACAACAAAAGTTAATAAAGTATTTTTTCATCGCTTTTTCCATTGTTCTACAAACTCCTTTCTTTGGTGACATTTGACTTAAATAGTACTTAAATAAAATAATAGTATTATACCCCATTAAGGAACAATTGCAAAACAAAATAGAATTGTGTAGTGAATTTATTTAGATCCTATTAGTTGATTATTTGTAATATTTTCAACATTTATATTACAAAATATTTTTTTCATAAATTTTTATTGTCGTTCCTTATTTGGATTTTAAAATATTTACAAAAAGTTAAAAAAACAGATAGCCGATCTAAAGAATGACCGTTAGTCACTGATATATCATGAAATACATAAAACTAAATCACGACTGCATAATAGTGCACTATATAAAGGAAAACAGTCCTTGAAAGTACTTTCTACTGACGTTGTAGTCATTCACTTCGACATATTATTCATATTTTTTAATTCTCGAACAAACTTCAATGGTGTCATTGGGTTTTTTCTTCAGAATAATTAGCGATTGTCAATGAGGTCAGATTTAGCAAGGATATTAATTTACATTTAATAAAATTCGAAGGTTTGGTTGTTTTAAAAAACAACGATTTAGATAAACTCATTGTGTATTGAAACAAAACAATTAACTAAAATATTAATATGTTTTGTTACCCGCCATAGCTGGATAATCTAGTGGTAAATTAATAGTCTATTTCAGTCTTTCGTTGATTTCTAATCTTAAAAGTTATACTACATTGATGGTTTATAACAGAAGAATAACAACGTATATAGAATATAACGAAATAGAAACTAAGAGTCTGTTTTTAGATCCGAATAAAGAAAGGACTTAGAAACCTTTTGGTAATAGCTTTTCTGATCCCTCCTGCCATGTCTTTCTCGGACGTCCTCTTTTTCTTGTTTGCAATAGTCTCCATCTTCCATAATTTTCTTTTAAGGGCTGTCTCCATTCATACTCTTGGCTTCAATAGTATCAATTATTTTTGTCTTATGACCCATTGTTGTCCGTATTTCGTCATTTCTTATTTTGTAATATTTTCTCATAGATTTCTATTCTACAGCAAGGTCTTCTGAATCTTATTTTCATTGACAGTAACTTTTTTCAAAATTCTATTATTTACCAGACAAAATTAACAGAATAAGATTTCAAAAAAATTAAGAAGTCACTACCGCAGATAACCACCAACCTATTTTATCAAAAACTAGAGAGCCTTATGAACGATTTACAGTTGATATTTTCTGAACACGTACTTAATGGTCACAATGACTTATTTTTCAAAATGGCCTGAAATTGAATCGCTTCCTAACCAAGAAGCGATTACAGTAGCAGAAACATTCATAACATCCGTTTCCTAGTATCAAGACAGAAATTAATGAAAATCTTAAGTATTAAGAAAACTCACGCTACCTCTTTCCATCCACAATCATACGGAATGGTCAAGACATAATAGAACTATTTGTCAATATCTTTCAACGTTCAGTGATCAAAAATACGTTTATCCCTGATGTACATCGAAAATTTAAAGGAAAAATTGTAAAAAATCCACGAATTTGCTCGTAAAATCTTGAATATTTAAAGTGATACAGACAAGACTATGCTTGACATGAATGCTATTGGTACAATTTTGACTTGACAAAGAAATGACATAGTATGGTTATACAACCCTAAACGTAAAAAAAGACTTTGCCGAAACCACAACGAAACTGAGAAGGTTTGTATACTGATATACCAGTTATTTTAGGCAAATAGAAGAGGAGCAGTGTCACAAAAAAATCCGTGCGATTTACTCCATATTGCAGAAGTCCTTTGACGAAAAAGATGAACTGTTAAAAAAATATGAAATGCTCGAGATGTCGTTGAAAAATCCCGAATTGTCCAGTCTTGTCTGAAATGTCAGATTATGTATACAAATACAGAACGTTGAAAGTTTGATAACAGTGGCATTTGATAATAATCATCATTGTGTAAAAGTTGTAAACGAGTATTGTAATAGTATTGACGTTTTAATAAAATTAATTTCAAGAAGTATTACAGTATGTTTTTAAACGAATAATTATATGTATATGTATTCTTTTTGCAGACATAATATCAAAAAATAAGACATTTCATTAAAAAAAATACCAATTTATGTATTTTAAAAATTTTATTCACAAATTTCTAGATATTTAAGACCTGTAGCACCAATGATGATGATGATGAGGATTACCATGGTATACACCCAGTGCACCATACCCAGTTTTAATTTCCAGTTTCCCATACATACTCTGACCCTAGTAAATACTGTAACTGCATGCTTTTTAGGTTTTCTAATTACCAGTACCAGGTAGGTTTTGAGTTTACTGTAACCCAGAGATAACTTACCTCCTCCTTTGGCTGAATTTCTGATCCCTGCAGCTTTAGAGGACTTAATCCCTCTAGTCCTCGTCTGCGTGTGAAAGCGATGTGGTGAATTTGTGGGAACTTATGTTTAGCCCGCTCTAAAAGTCCTTGTCTCACTAGGTCTAGGGTCTCGTTCATGTGTACTCTAACTACCGTATTGTACTTTCCTTGCGAGATGATTACTCAATCATCTGCCTATCCGATTGTTTAATGACCATTTACTTTTAAAGTTTCTATTAGTCCATCCATCACCAGATTCCACAACAGTGAGGACAGAACTTCCACGTGTGGACATCCTTTGTCGACCCGGGCCAACACGGTCTCTTCAGTGGTATTTAACACTCTATTCCTAAGTATCCCCATTTAGAGTCCTCGCGGTAGAATCCCCTATAGCGAATTGATAGAGAAAAACATTATAAAAGTTAAAAAAAGCGTATATGTCAGCTTAACTATATAGTAGCGAAACATGCATTATAAATAAACCATACCTAAGCAAGGTATGGTTTGGAAAATTACTTCAAGATATAATGAATATTGAATAAAAAGAGAGCCGCAAAAATAAACATCTTTATAACCTACAGATTAGAACAAAACGATAAAATAGCTACACTTCTGCGTTGTAAGTGTACACTTTTAGTGAATAGAGAGTCAAGATCAATTAAACTGATTAAAAATTTCACCAGAAAAAAAATAAAAAGTAGTAGAGCCAGAAGGTTTTAAGAAGATACAGATAGGTGAAAGGAAGATGATACAGATAAAAAAGTATTAGAAGTGACAAATAATTAAGAAAAATGAAAAAGATGATACAGCTATTATAACAGTTTTAATTTGTCTATGTTTATACACTTGTTTTCTAAAATGTACATAATATTCATATATTATATGTATCATGTGTATTTTGGGTTTAAAAGTTAATTTACTTTACAGATTGTTCTTACAATTTTTTTAGTTGTAAACTTTTAATAATCATAAATATTTGTTACGTTATTTTTTAATTTTAATTGTAATTTGTTGTAAACATTTATTCTCAGGTAAATAGCCGACTGATTTGAAAAGTATTAAATTTCCTTGTACAAATTTGAGTTATTTTTCAAATAAACAAATTAATGTACCTTGTTGAAACCATAATTAGAAGAAAAAGCATTTCTTTCGAATAAACATAATTAAGCTTTTAGAACACAGCTGATCGTGCTGCCCGAATGGTGGGCACTATCTACAGAATGGTAGCTGGTACACAACACTTTGGATGGACTTCTGATCCTAACGGAACTCCAGAAAACACAGACCATCTTGCAGCTCAATCTTCTACCGCTGTACAGGTATCTAAAGACACTGTCACCAAGGTTTATAAATCAGGTCTTACAGATTGGGAGATTGTAGAGTTGCAGCACTAGTGTATATATATTTTAATGTAAAAATGTACAAATGTACATAGCACATAACATGATCATAAGTTTTAATAGCAATTTATAGTTTATATCAGTACTTAATCTATAATGTGATTAAAGCATCTATCATTTCGTTGACTTTCTATTGGTTTTGGTGCAAATACCATCCAATATCTAAAATGTTTCAAAAAGTAAATCTTTGACATATTATTCTTGTTTTATTAGTCGTTTAGAAGATTTTAAAACCAATTTTTATCTTCTCTCCATCGTTTAGGATTATCCTAATATTCGGCGACTAAAAGGTCTTACATACCTATTTGGCAATATAATCTTGTTACAATTAAGCTCAAAACCAGTGGATATAAACCTGATTCACTTTTATGCGCTCAGAGTTATCAGTGGTGAAGATCAAGTAGAGAAAATTTTCAGTATTATGAAGATAGGAATTATCTGAAAAATACGGTAATTACTATTACAATAAAGGATTTAGATGCCAAGGTAAAAAACGGTAAACCGAAAGAAACTGTTGGCCACTTTGGACTTAAACAACACTTAGGACATTATTTAATATAATTCTACATAGAGAACAAACCTTGTTTGCAATGTTTTTCACACTATAAGTGTTATGTATACACTTGTTTAGCATAAATCAAGATACGCTTATGCGACACTACATATCACGAGTATTAAAAGGAGCATATTTCTCATCCGATCGTGACTTATTTATAAACACCTAACAATAAACAGTGCAACAGTCACCCCACCATCAGTTAAGTAAGCCTTGTGAAATTGTATTAGAATACTACACTAGAGTATTTTCAATAAAATGGAAGAATAATTAGGTGCAATAGAATTTGTTTTCAGGAACAACACTGGAATCAGATATTCATTGAGCAATTTTCAGGTCATGGTTCTGGAATACATACAAATAGAATTAAATAATTAATAGATGGGAATTGAGGAGAAAAATTTTGGATAATTCAAAATTTGTAATGGCACCAATATGCAAACATCCGAATTGGTCTAAATAGAACGGAAATAGAGCAGAGACACCATATGGAGTGATTCGTCGCGTCGGTGTATTTTATCTCCGCAGCTTTTTATAGCATATTTTAAAAAGACTTTCACAAATGAACGTCAATATTCTAAAATATGTTACCTTCCACGTCCAAGAAGAAAGACTTGCAACTACTCATAAACAGGATGACTGAGTATGCAAAGAATATTACTTAACACGTTGCCTGCCGACTCCGTCTATTTGCCGAGAAAAAAATTACTCTGCACGCCAGCGAGGTCTATTTGACCGAGAATTTTAATGTAACTGTGGTGCAGTCTACGGCAGGCAACGTGTTAAAAACAAACACTCCCAACGTCAAATTCATGACTGTTTGCAAAACAATACGATCAATAATAAATCAGAATGTCTGAAATATAGCTGGACAGTTAAAAACATTTATTTTGGGCGCTAGCATTAATACCAACTAGGTATAGAAAAATACGCATTGAAATGAGAATAAGCAAAAAGCCAAAGCTGTCTTCTATAAAATAAAAAAAATGTTCGTAAATAAGGATATATATATATATATATATATATATATATATATATATATATATATATTATATATATATATATATATATATAACGTTTGGCATTCCTTTCCCCAGGTAGCTGTAGCTTCCTCCGTGGTTGGTGTTAGTTGTTGCCCTGGAAACCATCAGGGTCTTCGAACTCTAATGTCACAAACTGGTTGCATTGCTCCTGTAGTAATCCTTTCCCAAGTTAATATGCTCCTTTTCTAACTTGGCTGCACCGTACTGAAGACGACCAATAGTCAGAAATACTGTTATATACGTTTGCCTTCCATCGATATACCATTGGTTTTCTGTTTTGCGAGACATGCCATTACTTTTTACTTAACAACTATAGATAAGCTTAATGAGCTACTATATATTTTGCATATTGCTGTACGGAGTGTAGGATAGCTCCATTTAGTTTATCTGTAAGGGACACTACGCATAAGCTAGATGGAGCGAATAAGAAATAAATTACTTCACAGAATAAAAAATAATTAAAATTAGAAAAATAATTGAAACAATTAAAATTTGAAAGCTGACAGATTTCGAGCACCTGAGGAGATATCCAGACAAGTATAGCCTTCTTCATTTGATAATACAGAGCAAGACCACAGGAAAAAGAAACCCAGGTCGTAGAAAACAACATGGCTTGAAAATATCTCGAGAGAAGGTACGGTGTAAGAAAAAGAAAAATAGACCTATTTTTGATTGCTTCTTGTATTATTTTATTGTTTCTTGCTCGTAACAGAAAAAGTTTTATTGCTCTTTCTGTCTATGTCTCTTCTTAATATTTCTCTTTTTATATTTGATAATCCTAATATCTTAATAAATTGTTTCTAGTTTGTTTATATCGTTCCATCTATATCATTATAGCTTGTAATTTCTCAATTAATAATACTTGAATGTAATGAGTCTTATCTTATCCAACCTTGTCGTCTTCAACCTCACCAAATCTGCAATCCGCACTTTCTGCCAGCCCGATTATATTCATGTGCCCTTGAGTAACAGTGTCCTGTTAGGAGAACAAGGATAACTCCCAGATAATTTCTATTTATATCTAGTAGATCTTTGGATCTCTACTTCGAAGGTCCATGTATAAAAGACTTCGAATATTTAAGACACGGTTATTTGTAACAGTGGTTCCATTTCATCTGGTCGACCTATTCCGATATCTTTCTTTTGGCTATGCTAATTTCTATGCTAACGAAAGATTCTGGCCTACAAATGTTTTTTGTTCATCCCCTGATAAGAAATTGTGCTGTTTTATTTTCTTTAATAACAGTATGTCCAGGCATCCTAAGTAAACTTACTTTGTTAATTTTTCCGATCCGAATTAGATTTTGCAGATAGTTCTAAATTGACTGAGTCAATTCGATTTGATTCCAGTGCATTAAATACCGTCTGGATATTCGATATAATTTTTATAGGTTTGTTCCTACATTTTATATTTATTACGTTCCTTAAGTTACATCTCTATAGCATAAATTGCCGCTTGCAAGATAGTGAAGTGATTATCTAGGCTTTCACTACGACTTAGCCTTGGTTTTCCCTCCGCATACTACAGCTCGTTCTTGATATTCTGAGATTCATTTTATTCGACCCCCATTCGTTCCTTCCTAAAAACAAGATGGTAAATAGCTTTTTAAAAACATATTTATCTTATCCCCCTTCTATTTTCTTATATCTTCGCCTCCTTATCCAACCATACATGTAATAGAGGAAGGTCAAGTATGACCTCCATAAGGACGGTTGGGTTGAGATGCTTAATCGCTCCTGTTCCGATTAAGTATGCTTGTCATTGAAACCTATTCGACTTCTCCATGGTGGCCTTTTGTTATTATTTGGACCACCAAATCAGTGCAAATATCCTTTAACATGTCCAAAGGAAAAGTTGGCTTTGTGTTGTTGGATATTCTTTCCAGATGCACGTGTAAGCTGCTTATCTATTATTACTCCGAGATATTTTAATCGACTTTTTGACAGTTTTCTCGTACAGAGCGAAAATATGGATGTTACCACAGGTTCTGTCTCCCTATGAAACTGGATACTACTGTTTGACTGAGAATGACATCAGAGCTATCGTATTTTCCTTTACCAATATTTCTATCAGCATGATTCTCGTATTTTTCTCTTACCACAATTACTAGATCATCTACATAATCCTACATTTTTACCTCCTGCACTTCAAAGATCGAGATAAGGTAATCCACCAGAAGTGACTAAAGGAAGGGAGAAAGCACTCCCCCTTACGGGCATTCCTTAGCTGTGTTAGCCAAAAACTCCTCTTCTTGCAGGTCTATTAGAATATTTATAGTCTTGTGCAGATTATTGTCAAGCATTGTTTTTAATCCAGTTGCATACGGTAGTTGATACTGCTTTTGATGCGGCTGCATCATTAAGAGAATTTGCTGGTGAAATATTAAATGCACTTTATTTATCTAGAACGCCGTTTAAAGTAATTAATGGTGGAAAATTGAAATACTAAAATGGCATTTTCGATTTTTTTCCATAAAAGTTGATGTCTACCACGGCATTACATAGCTAAATTTCGTACCAAACATCCGTCGATTTATTTGAATACGTCACTAAAGTATCATAAGAACAGTATACAATATTTCGAGTAAGGTGACAGAGTTAAGACACGAAATTAATAATATGAATTATTTATCTTATTTCTCTAACTCTAGATTCAGCTACCTTTACTTTTTGGACCTACTATGGACGTACTAATGGACGTACATTTTTGGTATACCGTTTTTTTCTTTTATAATATTGTTACTAACAAGTTTTACAATTCCGTACAACTTGTTTCTAGCTTACAGTGTTTTCTGTAGTTTTAATTTTTTAGGGTTATTTTGCGGCTGTATTAATGCAAAACGATACATTTCTTCGAAAACTTAATGCACTAAAAGTGTTAATTTCTAGAATAAACAAAATCTTTAAGCTATCTATTTTCTTAGTTAATTCTCGAGTCTCAGTGGTTCAATATTTTTCTGGTCTCTACTTTTTTACGATTTTTTTCGGTCTGCAGTTATTAATATATTGCACTGATGCGACAATACAAATAACTTTAAAGACTTGATGCAACCGAAGTGTTAATTATTAGAATAAACTAAACCTATTGTACATAACTTGTGAAATATTGTGTAAGGCAATAATGTTTAATAAAAAATACTAGTAAAATGTCAGAAAATTCAATTTAAAATACTTCCTATACGCAATTTTTATGCAAGCTCCTATTTATTTTTCAATTAACGAGACAAAAGATTTCAAAATGCATAAATTTAAATGAAATAATAAGAATATATACAGTGTCAATTCTAAAACTTACAATGTGCTATATCTGAGGCACAAAA